GCTATGTTTACTTATAACTTAATAGAGTTACACCTAATACCAAAAATGCTGGGTAGTCAGAACAACAATGCTGATTAACTGGGTGGTCAATTCGTGACATCCATACAGGTAATTTCCGCGAAAATCGTCTCGGTTGATTGCATACGCACCACAGGGCTGTCAATCAAGAGATAAACTTTTACTTCCGGCGAAAACGTAAAACCGCCATTTCTCCGCCAATATTTAATCTTTTTCAAAAATGTTTTTCAGAAATTAGAAATTATTCTTCGACCACTACTTTGACCCAAAAATCCAAATTTGAAGAAAATTGCCGACCCGAAGGTATACTGTAACCATGCATGCATGGACATTGCCTCAGTCATAATTTTTTTCTGGCTACGGCCTGATCATGGAATTTGTGTAAAACAAAATATCTTAATGCTCAGCTTAATGTTGAACCTCCGTCCTTGATCCTGCCTCGGAGATTCAACTCGCATATTTGAATGTCGGCGAGTCTTCACACCGCTGTTTTAATTTGGCAAACGCTTTCGAAACTGGTACAACTCAAAGATAAATTTTACGACGTTACAAATTGACTCCTCTATGCGTTGCAATCGTCGCTGATAGAATCGTAGAATTTAGTTTTGTCCAAATTTAGGGTCTTGTATGTTGTTATTCGAAATTAAGAAATTCATCGGCATTGAGTTTTTGCACGCTTCGGGTATTTTGGCTCGACTAATTAAATTCTCGTTAAAATATGAACCATGGCGAGACCAAAGGCCACCGCCGGATTCGGCTAAGTGACCGTGATATTACTGCAGCATCAAGTCAGTGATAAATTACAAGAAATCAGGACAGTAGACACGGTTTGTGATTGGCTATAACTGCGAATTTGGGCCCTGGCTGTAAAATAAACATCAGACCGTAGATTTTTAAGGCGTTTTCCTTTGAAGCCTGTTTTTCATTATTTACATGCTTTTGCTATTTCCCTCTGGAAAAGGTCAAAACGTGAATTTATTTCAAAACCATTCAAAGGAACATGGGCTATTCATGGAAAAGCACACCTTAAAAAAAATTGGCCAATTTTTTCACGTTTGTTGTTCGTAATTCGTCTAATATTTTCAGTTTTAAGTTACAATTGTGGAAGCAGGCCGGGTTGACCTTATGGTTAGGGCGTTTGTAAGGACGTCCCGAGCTCAAACTCCTCACGTCTTGAAATTGGTCAGCTTCCAAACAGCTTTATCAATCTTTCAGTTCTAGTTATAATATAGTGTATTCAGTTGGCAAAGAAGTGCTCAAATAACATGACATTTTTTCGAACTTAGGAACTATTAATATCGTGACATCGCTCTTTTAAAATCCCTCAATACTCAGCAAGTCTTGTGCCAAATTTAAAGTTACTTCCCACTTTCAAGGGCGAAAAATATGTTTATTCGTTCAATAGACCACCGGTCGCACTAGCTCCAGCTGTGAGAGGATAATCTTGCGTAATTACCGGTCATGGCGAAAATATGAGAGTTAGTATAGGAATATTTACGATCGCTGTTGGGAAGTAAAAAATACTATCAAGTTCTCAACGAATATAGTTCACCCTACTCCCACAGTCGATCACTTGAAGTAATATATCAAACCCATAAGACCGTGTTTTACCACATTTCCAAACAACGGGAAGAGAGTTAAAAATACGACACGTAGCAGAGTATTTTTGACGAACTTTGAGGTGTTTGGAAATTTGGTCAAACACTGTCTTGAGTGTTTGATATATCTTCTCAATCGAAACTTAAATTAAGGAGAAAATGGAGAAAGAAAATCGTAAAAATCTATGCTAATTAAGTTCAGAAATCCAAACACCATCACGGTCATGATTTCCTTTATTTAAGCGTGATGAATTATTAATGAGTTTGAGAAGTCTGATTGCTTAACGAGGCCACTGTTAGCGAACTATAACCTAGCAGGCGGTAACTCACTAAAATCGCTAAGTCAGAAGAATAAGTGATTGGACAACAAGCAATGCACTAAGGCGTTTTTATGAAGAGCTTTCTAGTATTTGTATCTCCAAACACCGATCGTAAATATTCTCAAATTATTATACTTTCCCCATAATCTTCGCTCACAGCTTGACTCTGGGCCGCCTGTGATTTACTTAACCTGAAGTCCGACGTATACAGGAAAAAGAAATAAAAATTTCAAGAGCGTCCTAGTTATTTAGAATAACGTATTTTCAAATAAAAGTATAAAAACGAAGAGGGTGCGATTGATAATGTCGTACATGGAAAAATTTAACCCCCCGGGGAAAATTATCGCGGCAAAAGCTTTCCTTGTAGTTCGCATTTTATGGTATCTGCATATTTGGTCTTTTAACGCACAGCAGATAAAATTCATTGTAGTTGACGCCAGGATGTCCTTCTGTTTCATTGGTTTGTGGTTTCATGAGAAGAGATTATCTCCCCGCGTGGTGCGAGTTGTTTAAGAACCTTCAGTTTATGAGCTTTTAAATTCTTGCTTTTGATTTTGGGAAGACATCAACTTTGAGCGAATTTACAAGGTATGTAGAATTTTACGGATTTTCATCAAATTTCGCCGAAACATTCTAAGGATAATGACAAAGATAAGTGTGTCAGTGTATCTTAACTTTTAATTTTTTTTTTCGTAGCGTCCATTTATGTTACATGTCGGGCGTTTTAAGCTACTCCAACTTTAAACGCGGATATATAGATAACTAATTGGAATTTCTAAAACGCCTGATACACTTCCCTTGATTGATGTCCGCTGAACAAGACTGTACTGCAACATTTGATACCCGCTAAATTCAAAAGAGAAACTATCGTTCATTTCATAGTAAACAGTTGCCTGATACTTCCTGAAAGAAAAAGTTGCTTAAGTTACATTTTTATCGCAAACTACAGATTTTATTGAGCTTTTCACTGATATATAGTTTTTTGGGGTCTTATTGAAACTGACGCGTGCGCGAATTTCCTAAAGGACACCCGCAAAGGTGGGAAGTAACCTCACTGAAAGGTACATATATATATCTTTGCATTTTCACACACCACACCATTTAAATTTAGCTAAGAATTTTTTCACTTGTCAAACCGTTCCATTTGTGATATATTCTAATTTACTGTTGTGTACCTGAGGATTATTTTTGCGATATCTGAAGAAAATGTATTCATGATCAACAATAGACCTTATCACGCTTTTCGACGCCATCTTCACGGGTAGGCAAAGCGGTCAGAAATTACAATGTATGTAAGGGAATCCGATGGCAAATAACTTTTTACAAAATTAAATTTTACACAATCCGTGAATCGCAACGTGAAAATACTAGGTAAAAGATTGTATTCACCGAGTTTGAAGGATGTAACTTGCCTAGAATAGGCTCAGTTAATTATTTCTAATTACAGACAAATGTATGGAAAGCTAGAAAAATTAACTGAGCGTCTTCTAGCCAAGTTACATCCTTCAAACTTGGTGAATAGAGTCTCCTACCTAATATTTTAACGTTTTGATTCACGAATTGTGTAAAATCCAATTTTAGAAAAAGTTGTTTGCCATCGGATTCCCATACAAACACTATAATTTCTGACCGCTTT